TGTGTGTGTGTGTGTGTGTGTGTGTGTGAGTGTGTGTGTGTGTATGTGTGTGTGTGTGTGTGTGTATGTGTATGTATATGTATATATTTATGTATACATAGAAGCATCAATTTCTTATCAACATTATTTTTGGCATTTTCTGGTACACCTGGGGTGTAAGTACACCACCTTTGCTTGGTACTGTCTTGCTCTGGTACAGGTTAAACTGTTAGAAGTGATACAAAATAAATGCATGACAAGATAGCTGTTCACTCACTGGTTGACACACTCATTTGCTCATTCAGAAAATGTTTACTTGCAGCTGTTGCACAGTAGAATCCATGTGTGACTATAGACAGAGATTCCCATAAAACAAACTTGTATTTGACACCATTTGCAATAAATCCTTTTTCTTAAAAATATCTAAAGAAGTATAAGTGTAAAATTAATGAACCTTAAGTAGAGGCAAGTGGTATATTCTTTTTTTGAAATTCAGTTTCTACAATATATTTTCTGCAACTTGTGCATCAATATGCTGAACACATCATAAACTATGTCAGATGTATTTAAAATTTATTTTAGAAGATAAAATGTTCTTCGCATTGAAATACGAAGTAGGCCATTTTAAGTTGTACCAGACATAATGACAGCCATCTAAAGCCTGTATTTCTTTTGCGAACATATAAAATGTCGCAGTCACTGTTCTGTTTTTGTGAGGAGACACTACAACCACAGGAGATCTTATAAGAGAAAGCATTTAATTGGGGCCTTGCTTACAGTTTCAGAGGCTTAGTCCATTATCATCATGGCATAAAGCCTGGTGGCAGGCATGGCAGGCATGGCAGCCATGGTACTAGAGAAGTAATTGAGCCCTACATCCTGATCTGTGGGCAGTGAGAATGACACTGGGCTAGGCATGGGCTTTTGAAATCTCAAAGTCAATCCCCAGTGACATATTTCCTTCAACAATGTCACACCTCCTAATCCTTCTAACCCTTTCAAATAGTGTCACTCAATGGTTACTAAATTTTCAAATATATGGTAGTTTTAGGGAGACAGTCTTATTCAAACCACTACATTCCACTTTTTGGCTCTCATAGATTTATAGCCATATCATATTACAAAAATGCATTCAGTCTGACTTTAGAAGTCCCCATAATCTTTTCATGGTCTCACAACTGCTTAAAAGGTTCAAAGTCCAAAGTCTCTTCTGAGCTCAATGTAACCCCTGTAAACTCAAGATCAAAAAGTAGATCACAGAACTCCAGAGTACAATAGAACAGAATATATGTCACTATTCTAAAAGAGAGAAGGGGGAGCATAGTGGGGGAAACACTGTGCTAAGTAAGACCCAAACCCAATAGGTCAAACTCCAAATTCTGCATCCCTGTGTCAAATGAAAATGAGATCTTCAGATCTCAAACTCAATAAAACTCTGTTGCCTCCAAAATCTCTCTCTCTCTCTCTCTCTCTCTCTCTCTCTCTCTCTCTCTCTCTCTCTCTCTCTCTCTCTCTCTCTGTCATCCCAAACCCAGTTTGAATCTTTCCTTAGAAGGCATTCCATGACTCTGGTATCTCCAACACTTTGGAATTTCCCACACAGTCCAGGCTTCACCTTCACAGTTCCACTCAATAGCATCTTCACGCCTCCCTGTAGGGATAACTTTGACACATGGCTTGGTGTCAGGGGCTTTTCTTAGCCACATTCTTGTACACTTAGCTAAAAAGCCAGAACCACATAGCTAAAGATGCTAAGTTCTGCTTCTTTATGGGGCTGGAACCTGACCAGTTTGTTCAATGACATCAGCACAAGCTTTTTGTTGTTGATGATTTCCATCACTTACTAAGCTTTTCTTTCATTCCTTTTTACAAGTTGGAAACTCAGCTGGGTGAGGACTTGCCCTGAGGTCCCTTATTGGATAGAACCTTTGGCTTTCCTTTAAAAATTTTGTCTCCCTGAGCACTACAAACACCTCCATTACACTTCCAAGTGCTCCTTATCACCTCAGACTGTACATTTTATATTTCTCTTCCTTCTCCTTGCTTCCTTTTCTTATAAACCAACCTAAGAATAATTGTGAATAACCACATGACACAGTCAGTCCTAGGCTGTCTTGGAATCTTCTCTGCCAACGCCATTCATCTAAAACTTTACAATTTAGCCTCAGGCAATTTTTTGAGACAAGGACAAAAAGGAACCACATTCTTTGCCAGGATGTCATAAGAACAGATGGTCTCTAGGTCACTTTCTAGTAGTCTTCCCCTCTGAATCCTCTTGAGATGGCCTTTACAGTACAAAATCATGCACAGTACTGTCTTCTATGCTCTTAAAAGAATGTCCCATTAAGCCCCACTTTAAGTGTCTAATCACTATTCTAGTCAGAAATCTCAAATTCTTCCATTTTTCTTCAACAAACAGCATAGTTAGGTCTATCACAGCAATACTCTGCTCCCTGTTACCAACTTCTACCCTAGTATGTGGAAGGGTCTTTTGTGTGTGTTGATTTCATTGGTTAATAAAGAAACTGCTTTGGCCCATTTGATAGGCCAGCCCTTAGGTGGGTGGAGTAGACAGAACAGAATGCTGGGAAGAAGGTAAGTGAGCCAGACATCATGGAGCCAGCTGCCAGGTCAGACATACTGAATCTTTCCAAGAAAGACACCACTTCGTGGTGCTATGCAGATTATTAAAAATGCGTTAATCAAGATATGAGAATTAGCCAAGAAGAGGCTAGGGCTAATGGGCCAAGCAGTGTTAAATGAATTCAATTTGTGTATTGTTATTTCGGGGCATAAGCTAGCCAGGCGGCTGGGAGCCAGGTGGCAGGAACACATCCCGCTGCTCCTTCTACAACCCCAGTCAGTGTTCTATTGAGAAGAGACACCATGAGCACAGCAACTCTTAAATGATGAAGTATTTAATTGGGGACTTGCTTACAGTTTCAGTGACTTAGTCCTTTATCATTATGATGGGGGCATTAGGGAAGACATGGTAGTGGAGAAGTAGTTGAGAGTTACATCCTGATCTGTAGTCAGAGAGAAAGGCATGTGATTAATAAAGGCATTAGAAACCTCAAAGCTCACTCCCAGTGACACAGTTTCTTTAATAAGGTCATGCCTCCAATCCTTCTAATCCTTTCAAATAGTAGCATTTCTTGGTGACTAAGCATTCAAATATATGAGCCTATGGGAGCTCATCCTTATTCAAACCACCACTAAAGTAATAAGGGAAATAATATATCATTAAATATTATTAAAAGTCAAATAAAAGACTCTAGATCTTAGAATGATAAATGAATATTTACTTTGATAGCTTATTAAAATGTGTAATTTTGAATAAGGACATAAAAGTATAGGCAAAGAATAATTTATATCAGAAGAAATACATTTAAAATAGAATTTTGTGAAGTATTTAAGTTATCAAATACCATTTGTTTACTCAAATGACAAGGTTTTCCTTTTTGTAAAATAAATTGCTTTCTCATGTAATGTATCCTAATCATAGTTTTGTCTCCCCTACCCTCCATATTCCTCCCCACTTTGCTTCTGATCCAGATCCACTCCTTTTCTTTGTCTAATTAGAAAAGAAACAGTATTCTTAGGGATAACAATATCACATATATATGATATTGTTATCCCTAAGAATTTTGTATTATCTTTAATATATATTATATTTTATAATCTTTAATATATATTATATTATATTATATTTTATATGTATTAAAGATAATACAAAGCTAACACATAAAAATATTAAAAATCATACAAACAGAATGAAATGAGATAGAAAAGCAGAAAAAACATATACATACAGAGATCTATTTGTTTGCACACTCAGGATAACCTTAAAACACAAATCTGGAAACTATAATATGTGTGTCTCTAGAATTTTAATATATACATTGAATTTTAAAATAGATGATAGATAGATAGATAGATAGATAGATAGATAGATAGATAGATGGATAGGTGATAGAATTTTAAAAAGAAAAAGAACAGCTCTGACACAATAGTTTGTCTACTCTTGGCTATTTATTGCTGAGCATGAAACCTATCGTTCAGAGTAGTTTATTTCCCCCAGTGAAACTCCATTGGAAAACACCCTAAAATTTCATTTGCAATAGCTTCTGGGTTAAGTATGGGGGTGTGTATCCATTTCGTTCAGCTCTAGGAACTCTTCTGGTGTAGAACCATGCAAGTCCTGTGCATTCTGTTAAGGATAATGGTCCAGGAGCACAGGATGTTTTTTGTTTTGTTTTGTTTTGTTTTTCTTCCTTCTTTTTATTTATTCTTTGTGTCTTTTATATCATGTGCCTCTATCCCATTCATTTCCCTGTTCCTTTATGTCCTCCCTCTGCCCCTTCAACCCCCCCAAATATAAAATAAAATAAAATTTAAGAGAAAAAAGAGAAGGAAAATATCAGTCTTGTCTTGGAAGCTGTAGTGTGATGCAGTGAGTTAGGCAGTAAACCCTTTATAATACATATATTTACTTGCAAGTGTTCATTGTAAAGTGTCATTGGACTGGTTTGAGGCCTTTGGTTTCTGTTACACTATTGATGTTGGGGGGCTCACTGCAATTCCTTTCAACTATCCTACTGTTGCCCTGCGTTATGGAGATCATGAAACTTTGGGTCTGCGGGATCAGTCCTTTCACATGCTGCAGCAGATCACAGATGAGTTGGATGTTGGGGTGGATCAACACATAACCCTAGTAACTCTTCCTTGCCCTAACCACCAGGGTGTGTTCCCTGCATAGTTTACCCCTTATGGTGATGAGCAATAGATAGGGCCAGTTCTCCTGCTTTCATGTTCTCGGGGTCAGATCTCTCACGCCTTCACCTCCAGGGCCAACTCTACTGTGTTGTCCAGACATGGTGTAGGGGACATTCTCCCAAATGATGCAGCTGATGAGAGACAGGGCCATCTCAGCTCTCCCAGTCTTATGACTTCAGGGCCAGCTCTCAGCTGCCTCAGGT